TTTAGAACAAATATTTGGCTCACATGGAATTAATGGAAGATATAACAACTGCTGTCGCTCAAAAACATTATTGTGTTAACATTTTTTTGATTTAAAGAAGGTTTTTCACACTATTAACCATGTAATTCTTATTGAAATGTTGAATAAATACGACATTAGAGGATTAGCACTACAGTGGTCTAGTTATCTGAAAAATAAGAAACAGGTTACACAGATAAATAATGTAAGATCTGAATTATGTGATATTAATTGTGGAGTTCCTCAGGGTTCTGTGCTTGAGCCAAAGTTGTTTATTTTGTATGAGAACAATTTGGTCAACGTGTCAAAGCTTTCAAAACATATTTTCTTTGCTGAAACAACACTTTTTTTTTCTGGTGAAAATATTGAACAGATATTGGAAGTGGTACAAACAAATACAAACTTGGTTTGAACTTATTAGGTTATCATTGGATTTGAATACAACAAACTATGTGATAATTGGTAATATAAAGAAAACTATTGAGATCCATTTAGAGTTGATGGTGTTGAGAAAAGTTAATAAGGTGAAGTTTTTGGGTGTTGTCTTTGATGAAAACTTGGTTTGACATATACATTACTTGAGAATAAAATAGCTAAATAAATCATTGCTTTATAAAGTAAAATTAAATAATAAAACTCTGTATATGTTGTATAATGTAATGATGYATCTACATTAAACTTATTGTATTGAAGTATGAGGAAAAGCATGCAAAACAATTACAAATCCTATTTGAAAAAAAGAGCTATCAAATTATCAATAGAAAACATTACAGTCACCGAACAAATACAATATTTTATTTGTTGAAATGTAGTGTCCCAAGAGTGGGGGTTGTCTAAAGAATGCCCACATGAGCAAGTCATCAGCCATTCAGCTTCAGAGTTCCATCACACAGACACTGTGATTTATGTATGCCTGCTTGCTTAAAGACCTCTGTACACCCCCAACTTTTGCCTCTCTTTCTCCAACTTTCTTACTGGAGAATAATTTGGCTGAAGGCCATGATTTGATATTAGGCTGTATCTTTTGATCTGCAGAAATAAAGTTGCTTGCTGTTCAAACCAGCCTGAATCCAGAGTCATCTTTATCCGAGATCAACAGCAGTTCAATTTTGGACCAGAAGAAGTGATTTTTCACCTCAGAAATTATTGAAATCTTGTAATTATAACAATTTTCATGTTATATGTAAGGCTCATAAAAACATATTACTTTTAAACATCCAATAAAAATTTGTTGAGACAGAGTTGCTGTAACTTTAAAGAAAGTGAGATTTTTTTTTAAAACCGCAATTTCAAAACAGTTTGAAGGAAAGTTTCAATGGAATTTTCTCAAGATTGATGTTAAAACTGGAAAAGCTTATGTATTTTAGAGAATGGTAAATGTTAGTTTGTTGAAAAATTACATATAATATGTGTGTGTTGACAYAGCTTATTGTTTGACAAGGACCCAATATTAATTTTTGTTTGAATTAAAATTTTTGGGGAAAAGGGGGCAGATTAAGATCATAATTTCTCCTTGTGCTTCCTTTCTTCCTTTTCTTTTTTTATTGTAAATTGATTTTTTATGTTTGTTAAATAAATAAACGAACAAAAATAAATAAATAAACAAAAATAAATAAATAAATACTAGTTATCAACATGTATTTAACTATACAGCCTAAAGATTACCACTGAAGAATATAGTATTTCTTATTACAATAAACAAAATGTTTAAAAGGAGGGAGGAGTGGGAATCACATTAAAGCCCACTATACCTGATCCCCTGCACATACAATACAGTCTTCAGGATAAATAACCATAGACTTCCATGTTACTAACCACCTAATGCAAAAGTTATGTCTGTAAAAGGGTTTTATACAACAGTGGCCGTGTAAAATACATTGAAACATTTAATCTCTGAGCTGTTAGGACATTAGCAATCCTCTTTTCTTGAACTAGATCTTAACTGATTTTCTTTTAGGTAGTATCTCTCTGGGCTGCGACTGTTGGCAGCTTGTTGGTGAACGGCATTCATGACAGGATCTCCAAAGTGTCTTGAAACAATCGCTGGGGTTCTCAAGTTCTCAAAAACTTCTACTAAATATTTCTGAGTGATTTTTTTTCTGCAGGTAAGATATTACTGTAATTACTGATGACTCAACAGAACACCTCTTCTAAAAAATAAATGCTAATTGTTATTTTATTGTTGAGCTAGCTTGAAGAAGCTCAGAGTCTGGCCTTGACAATTCATTTCCACTCCCTGAAGGAAGAACAAAAACATTAGAAAAATAATCGGGACAGAAACTTGTTAAAATATACTGTATATACACTTCTCACAAAAAGTTATTCACTGTAAAAAATGTAATATTGGATTTACTTAACCATGTTATGTTACCTGGTTCCACTTAACTGAGTTGAGTAAATTCAAAGAAACATACTCTTGTTCTTTGGTTAAAAACTGGTATATCCAACATTTCATTTTTTACAGTATATGAATGTTTGTCTTTTGGGTGAAATTCCAGGACGAGCCTAAAATGCATTTAAACCTTTACAGGTGAACTTACTGTGACCTTCTCTAAGCTTTTGAATGCGTATATCCAATTGTTAAATGTTTCAGTGCTTTTTGCGCAATTTGCTGTTTTCTAACRAGGAGCTCAATGGCAAAATTCACAACAGGTGTTTGATCCTTGAATCGACCAATAAATGTCCTGGTTCAATTAGAGCTGGTGTTTAAACAGTTGTCCCCATAATGCTGTTCACATTTTAAYATCATGAGACCAAGACGACACCTAACAATGGATAAACAGTACCTTGCCATCGGGATGCTTCAAACAGGACGTTCTCAGATGGATGTGGCCACTGAGCTTAGAGTGTCACAGAGTGTCATCAGCAGGTTGCAACAGAGATACCAAGAGACTAGAAGAGTCACAGTAAGGTGTAGAAGTGGACATCCTTTGGCCACATCCCATGCTGATGACAGCTACATTGTGAACAATGCCCTGAGAAACCGGATGATGAATGCCACTCAACTCCAGGCGCAGTTAAGGGAGGTGAGAGGCACCCAAGTGTCACATCAGACCATTTGAAACTGTTTACATCAGCATGATCTGCGTGCTAGACAACCTGCAAGGGTACCTGACCACACCACCCGGCACAGGCGTCATCGTCTTGCATGGGCCAGGGAGCATTTACGCTGGACGAGGGACCAGTGGGCCTCAGCACTATTCTCTGATGAAAGTCGATTCACTTTGAGTAGAAATGATGGCCGCCAGCGATGTTGGAGACATCAAGGAGAGCGCTATGCATCAGCTACTGTTGTCACCAGATGAGCTTTTGGTGGTGGCGGTGTTACAGTGTGGGCAGGTGTGTTCAGTCAGTACAGAACTGCCCTACACTTTGTGAATGGTACAGTGACAAGCCCATACTACCTGAATGACATCATTAATCCAGTGATTGTGCCCCTACATGAACAACACAGGCCTGATTTCATCTTCATGGACGAGAATGCTCCAGCTCATCGAGGTCGCATCATCAGGGAACGGCTGWTGGAGACTGGTGTACCTCAAATGGAATGGCCTGCACTTTCTCCAGACCTGAATCCCATTGAAAACCTGTGGGATCAGCTGAGTCGCCTTGTAGAGGCTCGAAACTCTGCACCCCAGAACCTCAATGACCTGAGGGCTGCCCTTCAAGAAGAGTGGGATACCATGCCCCAGCAGACAATAAGTTGACTTGCGAACAGCATGAGGTGTCGTCAAGCTGTAATTGATGCTCAAGGGCACGTGACGAGTTATTGGGACGTAGAAWTTTTTTGTTGTGGTGTACCCACCACTGTTAACTTTTGTTTCAGTTTGAGATGAGGAAATCACCAGTGTGTTCTTCTACTTAAATGTCCTGCATTCATGATATGATATCACTGTAGCGTGAACATTTTACATTTTCCATAAAATTCACCTGAAAGCCAAATATCCCTAACTTTTTGTGAGTAGTGTTAATTCTCAGTCAGTATTGCTGCTAAACCCACTTTTACACCAATCCCAGACAATCTGTGCAGCGCAGTAAACTGCAGCTTTAGAGGAGCATAAAATGGAATGGCATATGAGACATTAAAGCAAGCAGCTCTGATTCTCTTGCCAGAGAGCTCCAGTTTTTATTTTAGAATTAATCAGGTTTTCTCTAAATGTCCTGCCAATGGGTTTGTGCTGCTTTCTCTCTTGCTTTAAAAAACAAAACAAAACAAACAAACAACAAAAACATGCTCAGTGTGGTGGTACTGTATACAAGATTCTTCCCTCCCCCTCCTCCTCATCCTCCAACCTCCTCCTCCTCTGCACACACATGCAGTCTCCTTCCAGTAAGACACACATCCACTGTAGGTCTGCCCCTGCTGCTGCTGCGCTCTTCAAACTCCTGCATCGAGCTGAAAGAATGACATGGCACCGACAGCAGGACTGTTGACAAAACCCCCYCTGCTTGCGTCAGACATTCATTGCCTTTCTGATTACCTGCTGCTGCCAGGGGAGCCAGCGGGACGCGGAGTGATGAGCTATGTGTGGCTCCGCAGTGACAAAAAAGATAAAGGGGGCAAGATGTGATGATAGGGGGCTGGAACTGATGGAGAGGAGAAAAAAAAGAGCCAAGCCACTTTTCTCATCAACACTTTTCTCTCTCCTGCTCTCTGTCTCTTATTTTTCCCATGTCTTCTCTGTCCATTTGTCATTTTCTCAATTCACTCTCATATTTTTTGACCCCCCCCCCCCCTCCTCCTCCTCTCCCACCCCCAATCAGGTGATGCTCACTTCTCATCTGACTTAGCCACTCCAGATTTCTGACTCTGCAATGCCAGCTGCGGTCCAATGGAAAGCGAGCAGCTTGGATGCATGGCGCCACGGTCATATCGTGCATCAGCAGCTTCAAAAGCGCCCCCCCCCCCTTACCCATTTATTGTTCTCGCTTTTGTCTGTGTTTCTTATGTTTTCTAGCGTCTCCCTCAGTGCAGGCTTACCTTCAGGTCTCTGCAGGAGGAGTAACTGGCAGGCTCCCTTCAAGGCATTGCTCAGCTGCTCTTCACCCCAGGACTGTGCTCTCCTTTCCCTGGCTTTGTTCAGGCAACAACAGCCCTCCTGTCACCCAGCTCCTTCTGCTCCTCACTGCTCTCTGTCTACTTCTGTGAGAGAGAGAGAGAGAGAGAGAGAGAGAGAGAGAGAGAGAGAGAGAGAGAGAGAGAGAGAGAGAGAGGTCTGTGCATGTGTGTGAAGGAAAGAAAGAGGAAGGGAGGGAGAGAGAGTGGATGTAAGAGGAGATGGTGAAGGATGTTATCGACCAAAGGGATGTTATCGACTGTGCTCTGCCTCTAACATGTTCTCACACACTTGTTCTTTAGGATCTGAACTTCAGGAGTCCTTTCTTTTCTTTGGCTGCAAAGGTTTTGTGGAAATAAGTCAAGTACAGTGGAGAGGAGAGAGAGGAGGAGAGAAAAAAAAATGTCTGTGTATATGTGTGTATGTGTGTGTGCGCGCGCTGAAGAACAAAGACAGGGAAAGAGAGATKGTGAAGAAGAGGATGGTGTCACGATCAACTGCACTGAAGCTGAAATAAAAAAAAACTCAAGGGTTTGAGAGAAGTATAAAGTGCAAACAGAGAAGAGAAGGAGGCATGTAACAAAGACATAAAAGTGAGCGAACAATGAAAGSAAAAGTCATTTGAAGCTGACTTTATACGACATGAACAGCATTAAAAAATCTGATTTGTGAATATCCACAGTGATTCAGAAATAGGGAAATAACTTTTTTCTGTCTCTTTGCCACTTTTCTCCATGACTGTGATACTAATAGTAGATGAAGGCAAACGAGAGATAATGTTTTTTGGTCTTTTTCCGTGTGATTGTTGGTTGTGTTATCAAAATATCTCATAAAACAGACATGGATTTACTTGAAACTCTCAGACAGTTAAGCAAAACTCAGTTAATTAGCTGAGACTCACCCGAAGTTTAACTCTGAGAGGCAACTGACTGCATAAGATGTGGCCTGAAAACTTTGCTTCCAACACTATTTGTGTATTAGCAAACTGATTTTATAAAACACAAAAATGGCTAAAACTGTCAATTCATATATATTTAGCAAATAACTAGTATCGTAAAGAATAATTGACAGCATGCTCCAAGTGCTACACATTATGTAACATCTTCTGCATTTACTARTGTCTCAGAAAGCACTGGATGGGATTTAATATGTGCCTCTACAGCTGATTAAAATTTGGAGTCAATCAACTTAAGATGGCCGCCACATTTAATCATCTTTGGCSACAAAAAGTGGCAATGACTCAGTTAAATTTACCCCTGAAGTAATAGGACTTTAATTATCATGTTGTTTYTTAGACATAACTGCAGCTTAATGAGCTGATCCGGAGGGTCAGGTGGAAACTCTAAATGTTATCTCCAACTTGGTCAGTGGAGAAGCTTTGACAGCTTGGAGGCAGGACTGACTGCATAGAGCAGCAGTCTCCATTCTTCTGCTGAGTATTAGATGTAACTATGGCTTTTCCAAAACTAAAATGTAGGTAGAAACAGCTGTTTTTATTTAATTTTTTTGTTTGTTTGTTTGTGGAAGAGATTGCATTTTGGAGCTACTTTTAAAAAATCTTGTTCAACTTGCTTTTAAATTCTGGGTTTTTAGATTTTTAGAGGCATTTTTGAACTTCTTATCCTCTTAACCAATTGTTCCTTAACCTTCTCTTTTACACATTAGTGAAAGACTATGGATAAGCTCAGTCTTAGTCAAAATCTAGTGCATCTAGTCATTTATTCAGGTGTGTTTAGTTGCTCAACCTTCTTTTTCAAAGCTTTGTTTTTGTTAAAACAAGCTTTATACAGTATGCATGAATACTCATTGTGTTTACAGGTAACATACTGACCAATGTTTGAGAATTAATACCTGAATTAGAAAATTTTAAAAAAGTAGCTAAGACTGCTTGAGTGTGTGAACAACCATCCATCTATTATCTTTTACCTGCTTCTTCTTTTCAGTGCCACTGGTGCCCATATCCAGCAGTCACTGTGCGAGGGGCGATGTACACCCTGGACTGGTCACAATGGGCCTCATGCAAGAACATGTTCGTATTCTTATCCTAAATTTCTCCTACTTTTGTTCGTACAAAGGGTTCGTACGAACATGTCACGTCAGATTCAACAAACTCTTCTATCTTCAGGAAACGTGCGTAAATGAGCTGC